GATGATATATCTAAATGATGTGTTTCTAGAAATTTGAATGATTTTCTGTATATACTGACGTTATCGAATTTACTATTAGAATAGTGAAAGTGACTAATTCGTCATTTTCCATAGAAATATTAATTTTGATGATATATCTAAATGATGTGTTTCTAGAAATTTGAATGATTTTCTGTATACACTGACGTTATCGAATTTACTATTAGAATAGTGAAAGTCATTTTCCATAGAAATATTATAAATCTGATGACATATCTAAACGATGTGTTTCTAGAAATTTGAATGATTTTCTGTATATACTAAACGTCATTGAATTTACTATTAGAATAGTGAAAGTGACTAATTCGTCATTTTCCATAGAAATATTATAAATCTGATGACATATCTAAATGATGTGTTTCTAGAAATTTGAATGATTTTCTCTAAAATATATGAACACAAGCTTTTCATCGACAGCATGTTTTTTTATCGCATGATAAAATTTTAATGCGAAAAGATTACAAAGTTTAAAAACCTTCACTCTGCTTTATCTTTTACACATATTCAATTATTAATTATACTATTATCTAATATAAATAACTTTGCCTTATCTTAACTTTACCTCTTATCTATATTGATCTTTACGTTTAGATGAATTAGAAACCTATTAGGTTCCAAAGCTAAACGTCTATGTTCATTTATTATTGTTTAAGAGGAATTGACAAAAGAGGATTATTCAGGTTGTCAGATCAATCAGGTTGTTCAGATTAATCGAGAAAATTTGCAAGACTTTCAAAAAAGATGGTGCGCATCATCCTGCTTGCCATTTACTTCCTTATAAATTGTTTTACATCGTGATTTGCATTAATGTTGCGCGTGCTCGCGAATTAAGGAAATTAGCCTTGTACGTGACTATAATACACATGATTCAATGTAACGCCGACGGAAGGAACGTGTCCGTGTAATATGTCTGTGCCAACAATAACGTTACAATTAAAAGAGTGGAAAATTTCGTTCAGCTCGTAACGCAAGATTGAGAGGAAAGACGAATCAGACGAGTTGAATATATTTAATAGTCGTTGGAAATGACTTAACGTATTGCGTGTAGAGCAATGCACAAGCGATGGTATAAGAGTAACAGATTTTCCCAAGAAAATAGTAGCAATTATGCAAGTTACTTGTCAAGAAATGAAGCAGACACTTTAAAAAATAAAATGCAAGTGAACTATAAATATTGAATTTAACTAAAAAGATCTGTAACAATTTGAAAATATTGAACTAATATAATTAAGTTGTTCATGGAATTTCAAAATATTTCATATAATACGCATAAAAAATTCTTCTATGAAAAGCATTCGAATACTTTTGAATGAGTTATACCTTCACTTTCATGAGTTATTTTCATACTTTCGTGATTTGATACCTCGAATTTTCCGCTTCCATTATTCATCATAATTAAATACTGTTGCAAATCAATTCATCGCGCTATTTTTTTCTTCCAACGAATTGTGCAATTGCATTCAGAAATTTCTCAAACAAGTGTCAATCGTAAAATGTTGTCCTATTCCCTCTTCGATAAACTTAATAAGTAAAGCAAAAATGTGTGAAATTCATTCGTAGGTATTCCCGGGAAAACTAATGACATACAGGAAAACAGCGATTATCTTGTAAACTATTTTCTTCCTCTGACTAAGGCTTGTGAGAATGAATTCCTCGATCGGTTATTGTAGGAGGAACAGAATCATCTATTGTACGTTCTAATTATGAGAATTCCGATATAACGTCGGAAAAATGAACAAAGAAGTGCATTTCTCGTACTGAAAATGAGGTTCAAATAATAAAAAACGTGAAACGTTATTTCTTCCGTAAGTTTTCGTAAAAAAAAAAAACTAGCAAAGAAGATAATCTTTTTTGAGGAGGAAACGTTTGAGACCTCGAGACAAAGTAGATAATTTAACACTACAATTATTAGATTTTTCTAAATCAGCAACGATGCATTTTTCGAGATATCATGATCTTTTGTAACATACAATAAATAATAAAGCAAAGCTTGCGTTCTGCGTTGTATTACGAATCTTCCTCCATTCTTAGCCTTAAAATCATTATTTATCTTATATTTCCAATTTTGTCAAATATTGTCATGTAATCACTTAAATTTCTTACCTTATTTCCCACAGTCTGGAAGATGCAAAAATTAAGAAAATGATCTTATTAATATCAAACGATCTACCATGGGAATGAATTACAAATCAGACAGTCAATTCAGACTTTTAATTTGCACTTGAATTTCGTACAATGCGCTCTATACGAGGTATAATAAATATAAATATAAAGCATAATAATTTATAGGTAACAGAAGATGGCAACAGTCGCGCAGTAATGTGTGTGAGTGAAAACCGCAAAAGCGGAACCTATCTTGCGGCTGTGTAACATATCTCTGCGCGAAGGCACACACACACGTACACGCGAACACAAATAAAAACGCATTCTTCCTTTTTTGAGCATTGGGAATGAACTGAAATGTATCGTGAGCATTTTTACTTGGCTGACAGTTGGTTTGTAAGTCACTGTAAATAATCTATAAAAGGACGTATGTAATAAAAATCGAGAGGTAAAAATCAAGGATAAGCGAACTTACGAGGTCGGATGGTGAACGGAAATCCCATGCTCGTCGCTTCCGCCTTCCATTTCACCGCCCTTTTCCACCGCCAGAATCGGGTCCTTCGATTGGAAGGCGCCGTATGTGCTGCCATTTCTGAAGAACAAATGTTAAAAAAACACAAATAAACAAGTATAGTATATATACTTATAAATGAATAAATAAACGAGTTTTCAAGAACTGATTGTTGTATCTAGCAATGGAATTATTAAATTGGGCATATTTTATAATGTTATAAATTTTTAATTACGTGAACGAATGAATGTCAAAATGAACTTTTGAAAATTAAATATAGTTATTAAATTAGGGATATTTTTCAATATAAATGAACAAATGTCAGAGTGAAATTTTAAGAAGGAAATTCTCTGTGCTTTTATAAAATACAAATACCTGTATTTCCAATTTCAGGAAATTGGAATAAATTTGATTATTTAAAAATCATTAATCATCAATATCAATAACGTCATTCGATTACGAGGGATTAATTATTTTTACACATGTAGCAATGGAATTATTAAATTTTTAAGA